GGAAGTATTTCTACTGAGAGTCAGATAATTAAGAGATTGGTTTCTATGCTTCTGGGGCCGTGGCTGTGCTGGAGAGCCACTCGTAGGGGGCAACTGGTGACCTCGGTAGGGCGTGAAGGACGGGCCAGAACACCCCCTGTCCCATGAGGTTTCAGTCGCGACCCCACCCCCGGCTCACACCTGCTCTCCACAAGGCTCCCATGCGGCCACCATAAATCATTAGTATTTAACCAATCTTGCTACTCACCTTTTCAGATTCAAAATATTGATTACTATATCAATATATATTCATCAATATTTTATGCTTTACTCCTTATTCGCTGTCATGATTTTTCTCTTTATAAACTGTGCCTATATACACACAAAGCGTTGAACAGAAACCTTTACAAAATATCAAGTAGAATGTCAGTTTTAATTCTTTACTGCTCTTTTCTTCCTTTAACTGGACTCAAAACTATTTAAAGATAATGAATTACTGAATTTACTCAAAGAGTTTTAAGGGCTTGGGTTGGAAGTGATTTTCATGTTTTGGTAGAAGAATGTTAACTCTGGTGATGGGTATGGTCGTGGACATTTGCGTGCATGAAACTGCTGGAGAAACAGTACAAGGTAAAGCATTTACCTTGCATATGGTCCATCCCATTCTAATCCCTTGCATTACCAGGAGTGATCCCTGGGCACAGAGACAGGGGTAATCCTGAGCACTGCCAGGTGTGATTCATAAAACCAACAACAAAAAATATTTTCTATTGGGCTCATGACATAGCTCAAAGGGCTAGAGCGCATATCCAGCAGGCAGATGGCCCCAAGTTCCATTCCTGGAAACGCATGGCTAGCTGTGCACCACTGATTGTAGTCACAGTAGTTCCTAAACATTTCCATCTTGGTCTCCAGATCATGGGCTCCAGAAGCAACACTCACTACTCCTGAGTTTTGAACAATCAGCTTGCTTAGCCGACCTATTACTCATAGTGAGCCCTGGGCCTCCGGAGAACTGCTTGGAAGGCTCTCCAAAAGCATTTTTTTTGTACAGCAAAACAAATTGCAAGAACAATTATAAACCACCAAATAAATGTAAAAGATTTTTTCATAATGATATAACACACCAATACCTCTAAGAACGACCTACATTGAAACAAGTATTGACAAATATGGATGAAAAATGTGGGTTCTGTGGAAACTGCTGGTAAAAATGCAACTTAATGCAACCGTTTTGGAAAACAGTATTATGATTTCTAAATAAATTAAAGTAAAACTGCCAAAAATCTTGCACGCTACTTATGCACAGCAATGAAATAATTAAGCCCTAATGTTATATCCACCCTGATGTTTTTTTGTGGTATTATTTACAACAGCTATGAAAAAACTAAAATGCCTATCAATAGATAATACAATAAATATATAGTGTATATATGCGATAAAAATTTTACAAGTATAGATAAAACAAAAATTTGGCATTTTCAGCAAAATGGAAACTATTCAGGGGGGATTATTTGAAGTGAAATAAATCAGAAGGAGAAAGACAAATATTGAATGATTTTACCTATGTGTGCAAAGTAAGGAAATAAAACTGATGAATAGGCAAAACAAAATAAATATAAATCAGTGAACACTGACAAGTGAGATTATCAAAAAAAGGCAAAGGAAAAGGAGGAGAAATGGGCTTAAGTGAGTTGGTAGATGCCAATTTCTTGCTAGTTTTCGAAAATGTATCTATCTAATGAGTTAATTTGCATCATAGATGAAGAGAATTTACTAAAATTCTTTGAATACATTTAAAAGGGCCATGTAACAATGAACTAAGTAATAGGACAAATGAAAATATAGAAAGAATTTCTATTAAACCTGATTGAGAATTAAAAAATACACGTGGCTTGAACTGAAAGTTTAACGGTTCACAGGTGAAGTATAAGATTCAGTGATAATGGGAGTAGTGAGAGCTCCAAGCTGAAATTCTAGATGTGAGGTTAGTAATATGCTCTTGCTTTTATCAGAAGTTTTCATTTTTTTGCTGATTATTCATCATTTCAAATACAATAACAAGGATACCCTTTATTATCACTTCAAAGGTAAACACAAACAGATCTTGCTGGAAGCACCAAATGACTGGTATCTAGTTTTTTCAGAAGCTAGAATTGCTATGAGGTACATTTTTTTCATCTACTTTGTTCCTTTTATTTCTATTTCATAACGAACAAATAATTTTAACATGAAATTCTTTAAATTGGAACACTGTATGCTAGATAGTGTTATGGATTTTATGACGAAAGAATTATCACAGTTTTACTTATTGCTAAAAACAAACAAAAATTATAATATTTTTCCTTTGGGATGGCAAATTCAAATCAATACTAATTACACTGTTTAGTCACTGTGATTTTTTTCTACCAATCATTTGAGAGCAATATTCTTATAATTAACCAGTTTATATGCTGAACACCAAAATTCATTTTCTTCACACCAAAACATCCAAATCAAAACGCAGTCCAGGATTTTCTCTGATATGGGATCAACTCTTATTTTCTACTTAAATTCCAGAAATTTCCCTGGTGACAACTCAATAGCAATAGTTTTGAATTCCACCCCCAAAAAACCTTGGCTTGCCTTGTTGCTACGAGGCACATTGTTAATCACAACAAAATGTTAGTCTCTTCTGTCTTTGTTTCGCACTCGCCCTGTAAGAACCAGCAGTGCTTGTACAACACATGTAAAATGTGATGAAAAAAATTGATAATTTTTATAAAATAATTAAAATAAATATTGAAAGTCAAAAACATTTGAGAAAATAACTAAAAGTCAGATGATTTACAGCTTATGTTCCACAATGTGGGTTTTTTTTTTTTTGGCTTTTTGGCTTTTTTTGGGGTCACACCTGGCAATGCATAGGGATTCCTCCTGGCTCTGCACTCAGGAATTACTCCTGGTGGTGCTCAGGCGACCATATGGGATGCTGGGAATCGAACCCGGGTCAGCCGTGTGTAAGCCAAATGTCCTACCCACTGTACTATTGCTCCAGCCTCCACCACAATGTTTTAGTGACATGAATTTTACAGTTAATTAAGTTGAGAATTGTTTCACGAACAACTTCTAATTCTTAGTTCTGATTCCTAGTGTATGATACGATCAAGGAAACTGAAAAAGCCAAAAAAAAGCATAAATCGCAGATTTCAGTAGAGTGAGAACAAATGTTTATCCCATCAAAAATCATCACCATCAACATAAACACTGATTGCCATTTATGCAGATGAAGCAATTAATTGAGTTCTTCAATTTTCAGCTGAACATATTTTTTTCTGACAGAGTTATTTAAATTCACCATATAGGCTTCAATGTGGATCGAATTAAGTGTTCATTATTTCTAAACACATTAATGAATAGGCAAACTTAGAGTAACATAACCATCTTTTTAACTTTATGGAATCTTACTTTGTGTGAGCACAACCAGTAACGGTGAGGCAACTCAGTTGTGGTCAAAATATTGTTTAAGTACCAAAAATAGACATGAGTAGGTGGTTGTTAAATTCTTAACAACTTCGCAGTGCTATGTGGCATTGATTTTCAATTTTATTAGCATTAAAATAACTGTTCATTTCATTAGAATTTTCACTCAATAAATTCAGGAAACATGAGAACAATAACAAAGGTGCTGCAATTTAAATATCTATTAAAAAGAATTACATAAAATTTGCGTAAAAACTAATGTTAGTATTAAGATATATAGAAAAGTTAACTAAAGAGTATTATTGTGAACACATCTTTATACATCTTCAAATACAGAGACTTTTCATTGGTAGGAAGACACTTCTTGTCCTTGCCTACGGAAATGATAATATATGAGACTCTCAAGGCACACTAATGTGTACTTTCAAGGACACCGAATATATTTTACTCTCTTGCTACTACATTATCTATTAACTCATCCAAATTCATAACAAAACACTCAAAAATATCAAGATGTTACCTTTGCATTGTTAAAATGTCCTCTTCCTCACAACATTCAAACTTCATGGGCAAAGCTTATTATTTGTACACTTTCAATATTAGCATAGACATAAGATTACGGTGATATAGAAGTCAGAATAATTGACAGAAGAAAATCTGTTCCTCAATAGCTAAATTATACATTAACAACATTAAAAACTTTTCCAGTTTCTTTTAGAGCATATAATGAAAGAAGGAGATGCCTCTTCGTGTCCAATCGTGTTTTATCTATGTGACTATAGAGTATGGTAAAAAAATCTTTCAAAAACAGAGTTAAAAAAACTAAAACTCCTGTGGTAAAATTTACCCTGGGGTAATTAACCCTTGGGTACCCCTAAAATACCAAGTTAAAGCTGTTTTCATAAATGACATAGTAAATTTTCTCCTCACATTTTACATATATCATAATAAATAAAGCCAGAGAAGTAAAAAAAAAGAACAATTTTATACCCCGAATATTGGTTATTACAAAAATATTCTGCCTTCTTTAGACTACTTGACTATTTTGCAAACAATTTTTCTCTTTGGCTTCATTCAAAGCTAAGATTCTTCACTTCTACTTTTCTTTTTCCATGTGATGAATTATTGGATTCCTTTTACTTTATAAAAAGATTGCCAAAATCACTCTATACAAGAATTCTTGAACAGAATATAAAATTGATTCTAAACTTGTTACAAATCGTAAATAATTTTATATCATCATAAAAAATAAATGTAGAAGAAGGAATAGTTTGTCCCATGACAATTTTTTATGGCTGAACCCTGTTAGAGCCAAACCAGGAAGAACATTCCCTAAAGGAGTAATCAACTTTTAAATGTAATCAGCTTTTACTTCTAAATCTTGAAATCATCCCTATCTCTCACCAAACATATAACATGCATAGAACTTATTAAAAATACCGAAATTTTTGGTTCAAACAACCAACAATTATAAAATAATGAATAAAAATTTCCAAAACAAATCAAAAAGAACTCACACAATTCATGGTGAATAATGGTGAAAATTATAGACTTCTTACCAAGTACCCCAAGTCGATAGTTGACTGTGATGACGATCACATTGCCATAACTTGCCAAGACACTCCCATCATACAAATTTCCAGTACCTTCCATATATGAGCCACCGTGGATATACACCATCACTGGCTTGGGACCCCCACTGTCCCGAATATCTGAAAAACAAATAATTTCCAATTGTTCTTATCCTCAAAAAACATGAATAATGGGGCAGAGAATATATATTCCATTTTAGGGGCAAAGGGGCATGATTTTAATGTAGCTTATTTTAATTGCTGTTTTATTAAAGTGTTTCTTAAGCAATTCATGTTAAGAACTGTTGCAGAAAAAAAGCAATAGATTCATTTATTTTATCTGCAATTTGATTTAAAATCAAAAAAGTATAAAACCTGAAAAGAGTTAAAATATATATGTAAATATTAGTGCTTTGTAGTAGAACTTTGAATTAAAACAAAAATAATAAAACAGTGTTTTCTGAATAATTTTTTTAAAATGATAGATGTCACATGGAATTGAAGATTCAAATATTGGGTAGAAGAGCTGCCATGTGGGAAAGGTTTATGCCTTCCACACTATTAACCCAGCTTTAATCCCTGGCTGCACATATGATCCCATTAGTCTTTCAGGAATGATCCCTGAGCACAACCAGGAGGATGTTCCAAACACCCCTGGGTGTGGCCCAAAACAAAAACAAGTACTGCAGACTAAAGACCATGGTATCACTGTTTTGATTAATTCCATTAGGCTATATGTGGCCACATATTTAAGTTTTACTACTTTCAGTACTATCAGATGATGCTTATGAGAAAACTAAGATTTGGGAAGAAACTGATTCTAAAGGATACTTTTAGGACTCTAGATAATATGTGCATTCCATCCAAACTCACCTTTAAAAGAAGTAAACAGGATGGGAGAGGTCATACCGTGCATAAGGAATTGTAGCTGAGCCAGGTTTGATCCCGGTACCCGGGGATCCCAGTCCCCTGAGTCCTGCCAGAAGTGATCCTTGAGCACAGAGCCAGGAGTAATTATTAAGAATCTTTGGGTGTGGCCCACAACTCCCTCAAAAATAAAAAAATTAGTTCTATTTTATACATATATGTGTCTATACATATAAATGTCCTTTTAACTATTGTACTCTACTTAGTTCGATTTTGACTACAGGTTTAGCTTGTAGACACAAGATAAAATATAATCAAATTTATGTACAAAGTGCCAAAATTTAGGGTGTTTACCTGATCCCGATAGATTTGGAATTTAATTAAATTTATCACTTTTCGAAATTATTTTTCCTTTATTATTTTTTCAATGAGAATATATAAACACACTTAAAGAAAAATCAAATAATTCTGTTTTTATAATGCATTTCTTTTGTTTGTTTGCTTGTGTTTTTTATGTACTATACATGGTGATAATTAGAAATTATTCTGATTATGGCAATGCTCGGGGACCATGCTCGGGAATTATATGTAATGTCCCAGATCTAACCGGGGTTGGTGCTTGGCTAGGTAACAGCCTTGATCCCTGCTATCTCTCTGGGTCCAAATACGCTACTTCTTAGAGAAAAAAAAATACTAAGCCATATACTAGCAAACATGGTTTTATCTAACATTAAATAGTATATACCTATTGTTATTAATATACACAAAAAATAAAACTGCTATTATATGACAATTCGTGATCTTATATCTACAGTCAAAATAAAATTTGCATCACTTTTGATGACCATATACTGTGTCATCTAATGTGATCATTTGATTACTGTGCTTTCCATAAATTTTTTTTATCTCTCTCATGATTTAAAATTGAGATTTTTGGCTTTCAGGATGAATTCATGTAATAAAAAAACTCGATAAAAATATTAGAGACTGCCTTATTTTTTCTAAAAAATGAATGACTATTTTAAATACCTTGGGGTATTTACAATACCCCATCTGGGGTTCTAGGGATGGAAACTGAGGCAGCTGCATGCAAGACCCTACCTGGTGCACTATTTCTCAGGTCTCTAAATGCCTTGATTTGCAATATAATATTAAACATGTGATTAAAAACTATTTTGGGTCAGAAATTGCAGTTCAACCTGAGTGGCCTGATTTTTCTGTCTTTTGAGTTTGGGTTTTGGCCACACCCAGCAGTGCTCAGAGCTTAGCCCTGTTTGGTGCTCAGGGATACTCCTGGCAGTGCTTAGAAGAGCATATGTGTTAGGGGGAATACGACTTGATCAGAGGCATGCAAGGGCCTTCACTCTTGTAATACCACTTAACTCCTGTTTTAGCCTGATTTTTAGGTTTGGGAAATACCTCACGCAGAATTTGAAGACTTTTTATAGGCTAATTTACATTTTACTTACTACCACTTCACAAATTTATTAACCTTACCCTCCCACTAAAGTATTCTTGGAATATGTGAATTTTTAATGTAATAAGAGGGTACTTTGAAACTGAAATCATCCAGTAGACATGGTTCACTTTAGAAGGAAAATATAAATTTATTTCCTCATTAAGTACTTGGATGGAGAAGAGTATTTATTCACTTGTAAAAATGGGGGCTGATGGAGATGTTAACATACAGAGAGAAACTTTTTTTTTTTGATAGGGTTAAACTCTCAGCCTAAACTGCCTGTTTGCTACAGATAGTTTTAGTTGAATTTTCTACTAAGCTGGCACTGAAGAAGCAATAATAAAATATTAAACTGAAATCATTAACTGAGTGTTCACAGCAGACACTGTATTCTGCTAATTGTATGCTTGGAGGTAGCACAGAGGGAGGCAGTTTCAGAATTCTTCTTTAATTAAAATTACATAGAATTACAAAGCACCAACTGTGAACAGTAATGAAATCTTGGTAGAACCATTCTGTTCACCTGGAAAACGATACAGGCAAACATTGAGGAGACCTGCCACACTTCGACCTAACAACGCTACAAAGTGGACCTATTTAATAAACACTGTGACTATGTCACTAGACTCTAGGAGCTATTTTTAGTTCTGTATGTTAACTTTACTTTGAAATAATAAATGATAAAATTATTAAGTACCTTGGGTGTTTCTAATGTTACTTTGTCTTCTTCAAAAAACTCAAAGATTTTAGTCTTGCCTAAAAATATGATATGCTCCCAAACTTCTTTACAGATAGATCTATCCAATTTTTATGTCATGTTCTAAAAAATGATTTTTGTTTGCTTTAGGCTATCTTAATGTCAACGACATATATGGTATTAACTGTTCAAATAGGTAAAATTCTTGTACATTTATTTTACTATGACTAATTATGTCTATTAAAGTTTGGACAAAGTCTCTAGGTCTTTTACTGAATAACTGAATTACTTGTGTTTAATCAGAGTCCCATTTTAGACTTTATTGAAGAGGACATTTTATCATAGAAACATTACTTTTATTCATAGCCTATATATCTTGGATGTTAATAATATAAATAGCTAATTAATATATACATATTTAATTTTTGAAATACTAGTATATGTATAACAAATAATAAATCAAATAATGCACTATTAATATCACCAACAGATGCCATTTTAATAATAAAATTATATCTTTTATTATTGCATCTTAGTAATTTTATAAATTTATTGAAAAATAAAGAACTTATCCAATTTTTATTATAAATACATAAAAAATTTTAACCATCTAACTCTTTTTTCATATTTTCTCCTGAAAATAGGAAGATTTCACCTGTGCTTTTTCACTAAATAGCTGCTACCAGACTTACTTAGAACAAAAGAATATTCTCAGAGACTAAAATTGTGCTTCAGATAAAATAAAATTACTGATGTTCATTAGGTATGCTTTTAATTTTTATGTATTCCCACTTTAAAAAATGTTTTGCCAAGGATATTAGAATCTGAAGAGTGGACCGGTAAAGGGGTAACACTGCTGGGTGTTTTCTTTCTAAATTCTTATTACAGTGCTTTTAAGTTTCCAAGTTATAAAGAGTTGGAATTTGGTTAGACACCCTAAATGTTAAATTTTAGGGACTATATTTCTTTCCTTAAAAAAGAGAACAGGGGCTGGAGCTATAGTACAGTGGGTAGGGCATTTGCCCTGCACGCGGCCGACCTGGGTCCGATTCCCCACATCCCATATGGTCCTCTGAGCATCGCCAAGGGTAATTACTGAGTGCAAAGCCAGGAGCAACCCTTGTGCATCGCCGAATGTGACCCATAAAGAAAAAAAATAATTTAAAATTCTTTAAAAAATTTATAAAGAGAACAATTAATTGTAGGCTAATCTGTCAGTGTCCTAGCTACCTGAATGCACTTGACCCGTCTGGTCCCTAACACCAAAAGGCACCACATCGTTCAAACAGCACCATGTTTTGGGTTCCTAATGATGAAGGGTGGGTTGGCCGAGCAGTCCAGACTGCCCTGAGCCCTGCTGGAGGCTCTCCTTCTGAAACTACAAAGCAAACTCTATAAGAATGATTATTTCATACAGAATATAAAATTGAATTTGATATTAAAAGTAAATATTTGCCAATTACTAATACAAAAATCATCTTAGAACATGAATTTTGAAATGTATTTCTTAAATTATCAAAATAATTTGTTTATTCCACTATATTATTTTAATCAATTTTTATAACTTCTAGCTAGTCATTTTTTTTACTGTATATAAAGCATGTAAAATATCTAGCTCCATTCACTACTCTGAAACACAATGAAAAGTGATGCTATTGTTTTTGGACTGAAAATGGGAAAAGAATGACGTCAAAAAAAGAAAAAAAGAATTAGAAGTGGAGAAAGATGCACTACTTCAAAGCTCCAGGTTAATTTAAGTGCATGAAGGGCACAATCCCATTAGTCTCAGGCAGCTGATGAACATAGACTGAGAAAGGGACCAGGAAATCAGCTAAGAGTCCAATCATCAGGATATAAAAAAAATTTCATAATAATCACTAGACACCTGAACTCCTGACTAAAGTAACTGGACAAGTTTGTCAAGTATTTTACACTTCTTACTCCACACTTTATGTCCATTGATGTTGGCACGTGGTTGGCAACAGATTAAATGTGAAAAGTGATCTTTGATTTTCATTCATACATCCACAAGCACTGTCACACTGTTGCACTGTCCTCCCCTTGTTCATCAATTTGCTCAAGCGGGCCCAGTAACGTCTCCACTATGAGACTTGTTGTTACTGTGTTTGGCATATTGGATATGTCACGGGGAGCTTGGCAGGCTCTGCCGTGTGGGCGAGATTCTCTCGGTAGCTTGCCAGGCTCTCTGAGAGGGGTGGAGGAATCGAACCCGGGTTGGCCAAGCCGGGCGCACACAAGGCAAACACTCTACCTCTGTGCTATTGCTCCAGCCCCATATATCCACAGACAATTTTAAATTCAATTAAATATAGTAAGACTTTAATACAAACTTTTTCTAGAATGTTATATTTATCATATCAACTGCTAAGCTATTATCCAAACACTGAATAATAAGCCTAACTGAAGTTGACTGTCTAGACACTTTGCATTTTGAGCACTTTTATTAATTTGAAAACATCACTGATTGGCTTAGTACTTAACCTAGATACTTGGCTTATTATTTAACCTAAATACTATCTGCTGTGTAAGTAAGGATTTGGGTGTTTTTTACTAGCTATTTTAAAATTTTAAACATGTCTCAAATTATGCTTTAAAATAGTCTCACATTTACAGGATATGATTCACTACAGTGGTTCAGAGCTCTCTTTTGTATTCATATAAATGTCTAAGTTGAGTAATGGTGCTTCACCAAAAGGAAAAAATATATAAAAATGTATTATGTCTGGCATCAAAATCCCCTTTAAGGGAGACATAGTATATACTAACCTTGTGAGTATACTAGAAAATTTGGAGTTTATAAAGCTTTTATTTAAGTTCTTGGCACTTAGGATTTGTTTAGACAATAAATGTTTAAGATTTAAGAAGTTTCAGGTGCTGGAGCAGTAGTACAGCAGGTAGGGCCTTGGACATGTGGCTGATGTGGGTTCCATCTCTACATCCCAAATGGTCCCCAGCACTTCCAGGAGTAGTTTGTGAGTGCAGAACCAAGAGTAACCCCTTAGAATGGCCGGGTGTGACCCAAAAATGCCCCCCCCCAAAAAAAAGGAAAAAAAAAACGAATTTTCTGAGGGTTGAATAGAAAAAAAGAAATAAATAAAGTGAAAGGCGTGAAAAGCTTGAGACTTGAAGAGCAGTGGGGAAAAAAATCCATGTTCTCAAAGTTAACAAATGTGCTAATTTTTTGAATATTAGAAATGATAACATGCCCTAACTTTAATTTTTAGCTAACACTATCCAAACGCTATCTTCCTGTTGTTCATCAGTTTGCTCAAGCGGGCCCAGTAACATCTCCATTTTTTTGAGACCTGTTGTTACTGTGTTTGGAATATTAAGTACATCACGGGTAGCTTGCCAGGCTTTGTCGTGCGGGCGAGATACTCTCAGTAGCTTGCCGGGCTCTCGGAGAGGAGCGGAGGAATCGAACCTGGCTAGGCCAGGCTGGCTGCGCGCAAGGCAAACGCCCTACTGCTGTGCTATCATCTATTACAATTCAAAACAATAACTTGGGTATCCATGATGATCTATTTCAAATGTTGATGCTCTCTTTATTTTTTCATTTGATGATAGAACTCATATTTCAGTATAAATTTTATTTACTGAAAATAATGAAATAATAGTGAAACTATTTCTCATCATTATTAAAATGTTAACATCCAACATAACTGTTATATTTTTAAAAACTTCACCTATATATTAATAGTACTCTGGAAAGCAGTTTGTTATATATCTCTCAATGAAAATAATTCAAATAATTTCATAAAGATTTATTTGTAGCTGTGGCTTATGAAGTAGAGTCTTACTGGTCTTCTTGGGAACTATTCTGTCATTTTTTAATACTTTATGGATATATTATTATGAAATTTAATTTGTAGGGTTTGGGAAATCACTTTTAAGCCTGATATTAAATTTGCCACCTCCTTAGAATAGTTATTATTAAAGGAGACAATTGATAAAAAAAAAAAGGTCTCACTGGACACAAGAAGAACTGAAAGTATCCGTTGTATGGTCATTAAGTTAAATTATGCAAAAAAATGATACAGTGAATGAATATTTATATTTATATAAAGAGTTAAACTGTGGCACTGTAGCACTGTCGCACTGTCTTCCCATTGTTCGTTGATTTGCTCGAGTGGGCACCAGTAACATCTCTATTGTTACACTTGTGGTTACTGTTTTTGGCATATCGAATATGCCATGGGGAGCTTGCCAGGCTCTGCCGCCTGGGCAGGATACTCTCGGTAGCTTGCCAGGTTCTCTGAGAGGGATAGAGGAATTGAACCCAGGTCGGTCACGTGCAAGGCAAACATCCTACCCACTGTGCTATCACTCCAGCCCAAAGAATTAAACTATCATATTGTAGTTTGAAAAAAGAAAACTTGATTTTTAATTTTTTTTTTTTTTTTTGGTTTTGGTGTCACACTCGGCCAACACTCAGGGGTTACTCTCTTAGCATTACCTTCAGGAATCACTCTTGGCTCTGCTTGGGTAACAGTATGAGTTTCTGGAGATCAAACCAGGATTGGCTGCATGCAAAGCAAGCATCTTATTTGCTAAACTATATCTCCTGCCCCAGAAACTATTTATTTTAATGAGAGGAAATATTTTACTCTTTAAAGAAGACTATACAGCACTCCCCAAGGCTTACTCCTGGCTCTGTGCTCAGGGATCATTCCTGGCAGGGCTCTGTAGCTGCTTGCAAGAGAGTGCCCATTACCCTCTGATTTCTGTCTCCAAAAATGACAATATTTTGAAAATCAAATATTATTAGCCAGTCTAAACTGTGTGTCTTTGCAATTAATCTTACGTGATTTTGCTTTAAAAATAAAAAATAAGAAATATTACCATAAAAACACTGCTGTAGCCTCCAAATTCTTAAGTGACTGTACACTTTTATCAATGTAGATATAATGCATATTGTCTACTTGTTTCAGTACTTTTATGTGAACAGCAGAATACAGAGCTTTTAAAAATAAACCATATTGCTCAAGAAACACTTTATATAAGCTTTCAACTTGTCCTTTAATTTATCAGATATAGTTTCCTTTTCAAACAAATATCAAATGTAAAAATGAGAAACAATTTGATATTGAGTAAAATATTTACACAGATTAGAAAACATGCAAAATGGGTACAGAGAGACTACAGGAAGGAGATTGTTAGTTCAAAGAATATGGACAAATTTTGGTCAAAACGTGGGATGAAACATATCAAAAGTCAGTTCAAGAAAACAAAAAAAAAGTCCCCCTCTTTTTAAAACATTTTAATGGTTGGCATCAAAATGTAAAACTTAACATTCATTTCTTTAAAAAAAATTTAAATGTATATTTATATGCAACAACAAGCAAGAAGACAAAACACATCAAAAACTGGAATTAAAAACAATTCTTCAAAAAAAGACAAGAAGTAAAAAAATAGAAAGGGGTGGAAAAAGTGATTGAGGTCCTTGTCATGCAAATAGGTTTGGTGGAAAAAAATACCTTCATCTTCAGCACCGTCATTATCACCTAAATCATCTGTCTGTTTCTTTGTAAGGGGACCTAGGATTGAGAATGGAGAAATGGAGGGGAAAAAAAAAGACAATTCAAGAATAAACAAGACTGAGGGGAAAAATAAATATAAATATTAAAATTCTCAAGGATATTTTCAAAAAGAATGGGGAAACGGTTACTTCAAGGTCGATTATTATTTTGTCTAAGGAAAAAAAAAGCCCTTTCCCCAAAATATATCATAGAAGATTTGACTTGTGAATGTATCCAGCATAAAAAATACATTATGGCTTGAAACGCAAGTCACAAGCAAACGAAATTATTTTTTTCAAATACCCACTGCTTACAAAAAAGTAAACAATTTTATTAGCCGAAAGAATTTAATTTCTTCAGTGTCTTTTCTAATTTGAATTGGTGACAACCAATAAAGAAAGTAGGCCAAACTCATTCTCTAATTTGGGACAGTATAATAACATTAGGAAAAACAGCAAAGAATATTTTAGTGTTTGTTTTTTTTAATTTTTTCTTCTGCATTTTACTATAACATCATTAATATGGGTTTCTTACACATTTTTATATTAATCAGTTTTCAAAACTATGACTTTTTAAAATTACTTATCACTAGATAAATACTTCCCCATGTATTTTAATAAAATATACTGTGCTTAAGAGATTTGAAACCTGTACTATTGTAAAAACATCATCTCATCAGTTTATAAGGAACCATCAATAGAAGTTAATATTTAAATTAGTAAGGTAGTTACAATCAGGGCTCATATATCATAATTAATTTAAATATATAAAGGAATTATGCCCTCATACAATTTCATGCCCACTACAGTTATTTATAATGGGATCATGCTTTAGGATAATAATTTTATTAAAACATTGTGAATGCTTAATAACTTTTATTATACTTAACAATACTAATTTGCTAGACTAAAAGAGCACACCAAAGGGGAAGTCATAGGCCATGTGAAAGTAATTTTAAGTGTCATATAATTGACATATTTAGCACACAAAAAAGCAACTGAAGTCCCGCATTCCATTTGTTTTCAAAACCATTTAATTTAAATGACATTTCATAATCCTCATGCAAAAAGCAATCATTACAAACACAGGACACTCACGTTAAAAGACAGCCAACCACAGAGCAGTAAGCAGAAAATTTTGTCATGCATAAAATAATAGTCATAGAAAAGGAGGAAGAAAAAAGGACTGAAAGTCAGGTGTTTATTTCAGTAATATAAGCAGTAGAAAAGTACATATTAACCCTAATCACACTTCAAAGGAAAGGTCTGTTAACATTTTCAGAAAGATCTCAGTGATTACTGTGCATTATATTTGTAAGCCAAAACTACACTAATTACATCCCTCAAAGAATAAGAGCACCAACTCAGAAAACAGAAGGAAAAATGACATCCGTGTTTAATGAGTTCAGAGAGAGAGCTTTGAAAGGAGGAATAACTGGTGAAGATCAAAAGACTGAGGATAAGAAAACCTATATAACTGAAAGAACTCGTTGACCAAGTTGATTATAAAGTCATGATTTCAAGGTCATTGTAGATACAGATTAGAAGAACTATACACAATAAATGAGTGGTATAATTTTGCAATCATTCATACAAACAATCATTCCATTTAGAAAAAAACCTAGATGAAAGCAATAGTTCATGTTAATGGAACATTTTCTGCAGGCTCACAGATATCTACTTTTCTTTATTATGATCCTACTTAATTTTATTTTTTTCAATTTAATTTTAAAAATGCCCCTTAATACTATTTGATGGCCATGAAACAATATTCTACATACCTGAAAAATATAAATATCTTTACAATTAAAATTGTGGTATAAGTACTATAAATTAAGTATTTTAAATTTTAAAACCTGTAAAATATACTTAGAAAATTAAATAGTTGAGCTTTGTATGTTTTTGCAATTATCTGAAGTAGTGCAGGAACAGATTTCAGTGAATTTACGTTCTGTACTTTTGCTTTCAAGAATATTACAGAAAATACATAATTTTACTATCATCACAATTTAAGTGTGGTGGTAGGTAATTATTGCTGCCAAATCATTATCAGCTTTTCAATCTTAAAGTACATATTTTTCTTAGTTGTAGGCTGTATTAAAAAAAAAAAAACATTCGTGTAGGGGCCAGAGAGAGGATAGGCAGTGAAGTATTTGCCTTGTGTGTAGCTGACTGGAGTTTAATACCGAACACCACATGTGATCCCTCAAGAAACCACCAAGCTTGATCTCTGACAATAGACCCATAAGTAAGCACTGAGCACTGCCAGATATGGCCCAACAAAACAAAACACAAATAATTCATTAGCATTTGGGGACAAATGTAAAAAAAATCACCATTAAATTAAGTCAATTTTCATTTTGCGCAGGACTTTATGAGATATCTCCCTGGAATATTCATTAGAAGTACCAATTATCCCTTCCTATAATTATTAAGTTGATTATAAAGTCATGATTTCAAGGTCATTGTAGATACAGGCTAGAAGAACTATGCACAATAAATGAGTGGTATAATTTTGCAGTCATTCATACAAACAATCATCCCATTAAGAAAAAAAACCTAGATGAAAGCAATAGTTCATGTCAATGGAAACTTTTCTGCACTAATAATCAAATTAATTTGATTTGGGGGGAAATTCTCCAGGTTTTACTGCCATCAAGCCAGTAGTTTCACATATTTGGCAAACTGCTAGTTTGGTGGTCTACTGGAGATTGAAGCCAACAATTTTTTTTTATTAAAATGTCGCTGTTCTGCTTGTTTACTTGTAAAACATATGTAAGTATACATTATAATGATCAGTACAGTTGAGATGTATTCCCCTGGAAGACAAAAAGATGCAGGTTATTGAGATGGAGTTCGACATCTCACTGGTCTCCACTGTAAGAGCAATAGAGAAACTAGGGGTAATATAACTATTAGGCTAGAACTCAAAAGCAACTTCTTGTTGATGAAGACACTGAGACACACAGGCATGCAACAGACAAGAACAGAACCTGTAAGACAGACCCTGCCTATATTGAAACTGACCATTGTATGGGGATTCAGTTGGGTCTATTTTGAATCTTTTTCTGGACTCCGGAATCCAAGGCATTCTTCAGGGGTTACAAATCTTTCCTGTTCAGGAAAAAAGGTCTTTCCCTCCTACAATGGGACAACTGCAGAGAAGTCCCTGGAATCCCAAGGTTGCTTTCCTGCTATCTCTCCCCAAAATTCTGTCTTAGTGATTTCTTCTTTTCCCCTTGACTGCCCCCACTGTTACTCATGATTGAAATGTGTACTTATTATGTTGAAACATGGCATTACGATAAAACCGTATTACAATTATATGCAATTGGTTTGAGTTGTTAAGCAACACCTGGCCACTGACAGTGGAAGTTAGAATTTTTTTTTTTATGTATAAACATCATATTGCAACCTAGTTCTCAGTTGCTATTTGTTTGGGGATCTAAGGAAAAAGAGGGCAGGGAAGCAATCCCATTTACAGAATAAGAGAATTTTTCCACAAAAGGGATAGCAAAAATACCAGGTTTTTTTCTGTAATATTTATTATTATCTCCCCCCTCTGCTTAGGAAGCTCCATGCCTCTTACTATGGCTTGGGATAAATATAGAGTCAAAGAACATATTTTACTATTTTGCATGTTTATTTTTAATTTTCAACATCTAAAAATTTACTTTACACACATATCTCTGTCATTATCAGAAGATTACAATACTGCTTTAACATTGTAAATAAACAGGAATATTTTTACACCAGAGAACTAGATGTATTTTCCAAATAAAGACTTTCGCTTATTGAGTACTGAATAAATCCTTTTTCTTGAGTGATATTAAATTGTTTCCTAGAATGGATTCCAGAGTTACATTATGCCAGTAATTTCAAAATGACTTGACGTTCGGAACATCAATACCTTTTTACAAATCTGATATTAGGAAACCTTCACCAAGAAGAGGACTAACAGCATTTGGTGCCAAAAATTACTCTGACAGAAAAATGTTAAAAATGTTTTCCATTTATGACATATATCTAAAGGCATAGAGAATAAATATCTAAGGATCTCCACTCACAAACTAAGGTACTTAGTTTCTCTGAGGAAGTCTCAATGGAGTAAATATTTGCTTTTGGATTATAGAAACAGTTTCAAACATGTTCTCAAGATTTCTTAAGCCCAGGTTGGGAAGAAAATAGCCTACTGCCTTGAGCTTTTCTTTTTAAGATATCAAAGAATTTTGGCACATTTCTTTTATTCTAACCATCAAATTTCACATAATGATTGCTTTGAAAAAATTATTAAATATAGAGAAGGGAGTGAGAGTACTAATTTTAAGTTTCTGAGGAAAAGTAGACAGCCACATTTCAGAGAACATATACTCCTCAAAGCTTATCAAAATAATTTTCCGAAAGCAAAAACTATCAATCATTTAACAGAGAGTCAAATTTTGCAATATTCCAACCACAGTTTATGCTCCCTTTTAACTACAAACAGTGCATTTTCAGTACAGCTAGTTTAAGTGGGTGTTTCAAATACTAATACAAAGTTAAATGAGTCTCCTAAATTCTGAAAGTGAAAGTGATTTATTCTCCCTTGAACCTCTGTAGGGTGTGTCCTCCTTGAAGAACACACCTATAACTTCATTAGAGTTAATAGGAAAGTAGACCTCCTGTCATTTTGGAAGAATTTGAGAGTAATCACTAGATTTTATGCCTCCCATAGGCAATAAATAGGTTCCATGGCAAAACAACAGAACTAGTAAGGTAAAGGGAATGCCCAAACATAAACTTTTCACTTGTTCAGTCCCCAAAATTCCTGTAAAATTATAGGTATCCGTGTTTACAAAGGAGTTCAATTGCATTCTTATATTTCTGAATCTTAACACAGTACCGTTTAATTAAAAAGAAAAAAACCCTCAGCATTTCTCTGTAGTTAACTGGAGAATAATTATGAACTCTGAATAATTACTATACACTCATATTAATGCTGCTTTTAACCATTCTCTTTGATGAAGGACTAATATACTT